AAGGACCAGCTTGTCTGCCTGTCTCCAGGGACCTCACACCAGGGAACACTGAACCCTCTGCACAAAGGGACTTGGCGAAGACCTGTGACCTGCCCAAGGAAAGGACAAGGTTGGCAGAACATGAATGAGATCAGGATACAGGGGGTGGGGGCAGGGGAAGAGACTGAGCCTGGGGGATCACCTGAGTCATCCCAGGCAGGTGGAAGAGCCAATCAGGAGGACTGACCCCCCTGCCGATGCCAAGGAGGTCATCCCCTTGCCTCCCTCCTGAGTTATGGCCAGAATTGTGGGAGATGATGGCCGTGAACACTCGGTAGAGTCGTTGACTGTGCAAATCAGATAGGAGGAGGACGTGGGCTTATCAAAGCCAAGGCCTAACCTCAGAAAGGTCTGCCTGTCCAAGGAATAGTGAGGTGGCGCATTTACAAGTGCAGGATCTGGAGTCGGGCAGAGCTGGGCTCCACTGTTTCTGAGCTGTGTGACACTGGACAGAGCTCCTACTCTCTGGGATGTAGTTTCCTCACCTATAAAATGAGGCTAATGCCGGTATCCATCTCAGTGTTGTTGTAAGCATTAAACGAGATAAGGCAAGCACAGTTAAGCTCACTGCCAGGCACACAGAAGTTATTTTTGCTTTTATTACACACCATGATAGAGAGTGAGCCTCCCAGTCCCTGAGGTATGTAAGGAGGAGGAGAGCCTGGAGAAGCTGAGGCCAAGCCCCAAAAGACAGATCATGTCTCAGCAGGAACAGACGAAGACACGAGGCAGAAAAGGTGCATGTACAACTTCAGAAGTCTCATCCAAGTTGGGGACAGAGAGCCAGGCCTGGGGCCCCAAAGGGAACAACTAAAGACAGCAGGGAGAGATGGACCCACAAGATACAACCAGCCCCCACCCTCAGGGCTATTCTCAGGCTTGTCCAGCCCACAGGGTCCGAGCTACTCCCAGGGGCCTCTTGGCTGGTCTCCCTGAAGCCAGGGTCCCCAGGTAGAGGTCCCAGTCCCCGCCCTTCCCTAAGGTAGCACACAGGCCCTCCCCTAGCCATTGTTCCCAGTTAGGAAGCGGCTGTGTCAAACCAGTACCCTTCCGAACCATGTCACCATCTTCCTGGGGGCCAGCAGCCCTGGGTTCCACACCCTGCTCTGTGAAGGTGGCCCCTCTGTGCCTCAGTGTCCCCAGCTGGACCCCATGTTCTAAGCCCCGGGAGGGGAGCACCACGTCAGGTCACCCCAGCACTCCTGGGCACTGCTGTGAGGCGCTCCTGCCTGCAACCCTCAAAGTGTGCTGGGGCATTCCTGGGACCCCCTCCTAAGACCCCACAGGCGGACTCCAGCGGACCCTGAAAGGAAAGACCCAGGTGGAGGGGAGGGGACCACACAGCAGCCCAGACACAGGGCCATGCGACAGGGGTGTGTATAGGCACGGAGGAGGAACTGACCGTCTCAGCAGGAAACATCCGCCAAGCCCCCAGCGCCCAGGCTGGGCCTGGCACGGGGCTGGGCCCCTGGAAAAACTCAGGAGACAGGAAGAAAAGAATCTAAACCTCCCGAGTACAGGCATGGGCACTCCAAGAGGTCACCCGACACAAGAGCCAGCAGGGCAGGATCAGCCCCACTGGACAGATGGGAAGACTGAGGCCCCGGGACGTGCCCAGAGTCACACAACCAGATCGTGGCTCCCACTAACCGCGGCTCTGTGCCCCAAAAAGGGCTCTGTGCCCCAGTGCACCTCAGCAAGCCAGCCTCCCCAACTGACTGGGGGCTTGCCGAGGGCTGGGAGCATACAGTTCGTCCCCACGTGCCCCAGTGCCCAGGCTGGAGCCAGCACACAGGAGGAGCTCAAGATATGTTCGCCAGCTGAATGGATGGGCCAGGACTTCATCCAAGGTGAGAGGAAAACCTGCATCTCCCCCAGTAGCCCTGGGGACAGACAGGCCAGACAGACAAAGCTCTTCTTGACCTCGGTGGGGGAAAGTGGGAAGGCGCCCAGGCAAGTGACACTCCTCTGGGGACAGGACCCCCTCAAATCCATGGGCCAAGTAGACTCTGGGTCACAAGGCACAACGTGAAACGGCCAGACGACCCTCGCCATCCAAAGGTCACTGTTTCCACCCTGCATCTGGCCATCATCAACAGAGAGTCTCACTCTGCCCATTCTTCAGATGGGGAAATTGGGGCCTGGAGAAGGGAAGAGACCTGCTTAGTGTCCCTCTTTGGTGAAACCTGGGGGCTGCAGATGCGGTCCCCCACTGGCAGCCCTGCCAGGGACACAGTCCTGCTCTCAAGTCTGTTCTAGAGGGGCAGTGGGGGCAGAGGGCAGGCAGAGGTGGCAGCCCGGCCACAACCCCTTCCCTGGCGGCCAGCTGCAGGCCTCCACCGGGCAGCTCTCCCCCGTGCTTTCCCGTCTCTGAACAAACACACCCCCAACCTCTTGGTCACTGTCCTTCCTTGCTAGCGGCAAAGGCAGAGGCCACACGGGTGTGGAGCAAGGGCCTGATGGGCGCTGGGGTGCTGCGTACCACCTCCTCCTCTGGAGTGTGATGTCACTCCCATGAGATCAAGTCCCCAAGCAGATGAGACTGAGGCCGGAGGTCAAAGGGGAGGTCAAGGCCACGGGGTGGCTCCCCCAGCATGCATTACCCCCTGGGTGGGGCACTGCCCTCAGGAGGAGGGGTGGCCCTGGGGCCGAATCAGGGATGGGGGCGCAGTGGAGGGAGGTGTGTGGTTGCTCTAGGCCTCCAGCCTCCACCTGTCACCCTGCCAGGCAGCTCCCACCAGCAGGACTCCCCAGCACTCAAGGCCCTTCATCAGGCCCAAACTACTGTTCCCTGCTATCCTCCCCCTCCCCCACTGACCCCCCTCGGCCACCCCAGGAGCAACTCTGTCCACAACACTCAAGACATTTTCCTTCTCCCTGTCTTTGCACAGGCTGTTCCTTCCGTCCAGAGTATGGACAACAAGAGCTCACACGTAACTGTGCCCAAGTCCCAGGCAGCACAGGCTTCTAGCTCTCCAGGCGTCCGCTCTCCTTCCTTAGCCAACCCTGCCTTCACTACCCCACTGACCAGACGAGGCCACTGAGGCTTGGAGAGGTAACTGATTAAAGGACAATTTTGCGCAGAGCTGGGATATGAACCCAGATCTGACTCAATCACTCCCTCTGCCGAGGGCAATCCTATGAAACTCTGTCCAAATGTCACCTCCTCTGTGAAGCGCTCCCTGATTTCCCCAGGTGTGAGTTCTGTTCAGCAGTCTCCTCCCTACTCCCTGCGGCTGTGAGCTCCTTCAAGGCTGGGACACAAAGCAGGGGTTCCTGCACAGACCAGGCCTGAGAGCTGGGGCTCAGGGATGGCCAGACACATTGACTGTCTCCTGTCTACTCAGCTGAGCAGGAGAGGGACTCCCGGTCCTCTCTGGGCCTCTGCAGTCAGGGATGGAAGCAGGCTGAGGGAAAGGTTACGCAGGGCGCTGAGCTAGGGTGGGGTGGGTGCAGGAGGGCTCAGTGGCCTGAGCATTATAGGGCATTTGTGCAGTTCCCGTTTCTCACAGCAGGAACTCGCTCTCTCCTGGAATCCTCCGCGGCCTGCTGGCCCCCTTTTACAGCTCAAGAAACTGAGACTTAGAAAAGGGAAGTGATTTGCCCAAGGTCACAGTGCTTGAACCCAGATCTCTGGTTTCCCAGGCCAAGCCTGGAGGGAGGGAGAGGCCAGAGGCCACTTCAAGGAAAGCAAGGGGAGGTGGACCACAGGCCCCCAGGCCCTTGAGGACAGAACTCCCAGCACACACATGAGCACACTCCCAGCCTCAGCTTGAACCCTTCCACACACGGGGAACTCACTACTTCCTGAGGAAGCCCTGTACATTGTTGCTCAGCCCAGACTGTGGGAAAAGTCTTCCCCATTCTGGGGAGAAGCGAACGAACGTGCATGGCCTGCCGGCTTCATTCCCCCTCATGCTGATAAGAAAAGGGAGCTTCAGGGGCAACACTCCAGGGCCCAGGTCGTACAACCAGCGCCTGGGGAAGGGGGGGTGGGGTTTGACCGAGGTCTGCCAGATTCCAAGCCCAGATTTGCTCAAACACCTCTCTGATCAGGCTCCGCCTTCCCGATTCCCAAGATACCCTGATGCTAGACACTCAGCCCAGCTCCGGGATGGGCGCTACCAACCCCCTCCTCCCTCCCGCCCAGGAGCACCTCAGTGGGCGTGAGCCTCTGCCGGGACTCCGGCCTCCCCAGGGCCCCTTCGAAGGCCTCCTCCTTCCAGGGGGCCTCCCTCCCACCTCCCACCCGGCCACGGAAGGAAGTCCCCGGCCCCACCCCGCCCAGAAGGCAGCCCCCTGGATCACACGCTTTCCAGCTGAGGATCCTGTTACTGGAAAACGAAAACTGCTGCTCGCACCTCCCCCTCCTCCCCGTCCAGCCTCCAGGCCGCGAGACAATCTCTTCTCAAAGGAGGTGGCGCCCACCCACTCCGAGGGGTCTCCGACAGATGGAAGCCGCGGCACCTCCGCAGCCAAGGAGGGACAGAGCCCCTATAGTCCACCCACCTGTCCCCCCATCCAAGAAGGGGGAAGCCTGTTAAGTCCCTGAGGAGAGAAGCGTGTGCAGGGGGTTGGCCAGCGCAGGGAAAGCCAGGTGAGGGGCAGCCCAGATCCACTCAGGATTATTTATTGCCAAGCTGCATGTAAACTGAAGCACAGGCAAGCCGCGGTGGAATCTGAGAGGGGGAAGAAAGAGAACCCCTAATCGCAATTTCCCATTCCCCTGCCCATGGCATAAGGGGGAGACACTACAGCCTCAGTTTCCCCAGGAGAGCGGGAATGAAGGAGAAGCTGAGGGAATGGGGGTCAAGCAGACACAGTAACAAGCGGCCAGAAGGGGCGGATGAGGGGTCCCAGGCAGACTGAAGGAGAACCCAGGGACCCCGGCATCCCTGGGCATCAGGTGGCGAAGCGGCAGTAGGGATGGGGGGGAGGTCAGGGGTCGGGGTGGCGCCTACCCCTGGCGGGCCGGGTCCGGCTGCGGGAGCGGCTCCTCTGTCGCTGCAGCCGGGGTCGCCGCAGCAGCCGGTAGTAGTAGGAGGGCCTCCCGGTGGTCTTCCTGGCGCTGCCGCCCGCGGACATGCTGCCGCCCGCCGGGCACCGGGCCGGGCCTGGGCACGCTCACACGGGCCCCATCGGCCGCTCCGGCCCGCCCGGCGGGCGTCCTGCTTCTCCCGCGCACGTCGGAGCGACCGCCGCCGAGGCCAAGGCTGCCCCACAAAGTCGCTCCAACTCCTCCTCCGGCCCCCGCCCTCCCCGAAGCAGCCGGCCCCGCGGCGGGGGCCGGGGACCGAGAGGCCGGGCTGGCACCGGCCCGGAAAGTCAGTGCGGGAGAAATCCCGGCCTGGAGTCCGCGGGCCGAGGCGGCCCGGAGTGTCCCGGGACCCCAGGCAGGTCCCCAGGAGGGTCACCGCCTCCACCCTGGCGCCTGAGAGGCGATGCCCGACCTCGGGGCGTGCGGGGGCCCCAGCCCGCCGGCGGGTGTAGACGGTGCATACCCACGTGTGCGCGCTTCCCGGCACTGGGCAGGGCGCACGCGAGGTGACCAGGCGAGCACTGTGTTCTGGAACCAATCAGGGTCTGAATGAGGCTGATGCTGCGGGGCCGATTCTGCCCCAAGGGCGCTGGGCTGAGTATCGACCCGCAAACACACTGTTCCGCGGGCCCCTGGTTGAAAAGCCTCCCCTTTCACGCGGGATGATTGCCTATTCTTTACATTTTAAAAGTTGTCCCGTTTGAACATGTATTATTTTTCTGTTAATTAAAATTATCATGTATATAACAAGCACACAAAAGGAGAGAGAACATAATGAACACCTGTGTATCCAGCCCGGCTTTGCCAAATCTGAACATTTTGCCCGCTTTGATCTGGACCCTCTCCCCCAAAAAACACTGTGGATGCTGTGAAGTCTTCCCCCCACCGAGCATTTACGGCAGCTCTGGCAGGTCTGCAGGCAGAGCAGAACAATCGTTGCCCTACCGTGGGGATGGGAAACTGAGGCTGGGAGAAGGGAGGGTGCCAACTCCCTCTAGTGCACGCTGCTAAAAAGCTTTCTTCTCCAAGTCATGACTCCCCAGCTCAAGAACCTTCCATGGCTCCCCAGAGCCCAACAGCAACAAGTCCAAACAACCTTCTCTGGTATTGAGGCTCCAACATCTGGCCCCAACCAAACCACCCTCCAGCCTCACCTACCACTCCCTACTTCTCACTCCTCTGCTCCACCCCCAGCAGGGACTGCCCTCCCAGCTGCTTTTCTCCTGATCCATCCTCCTCCTCCACCTCCTCCAGCCTTCCCCGATCACCCGGGGCCCTCGATGGCATCTCTCTCCCTACTCTCCCTAGCCCCGACAGCAGCATTTATCTTTTAAATTATTCAGACAACCACCTGCCTGAGCTCCATCCACTCAAGTACAGAAGGGGAAACTGAGGCCTGACAGCAGGTCTGACTGTGTCAGTCACAGGGAAACTAACACAGGCAAGTGGTCTCAGCCTAGGGCTCCCCACGGGCAGTCTCAGGGGTGAGTTTGTGGGCGAGTCCCTGAGGCAGTCTGGATGTCCTCCTCCAGAACAGCTGAAGAGGCGTGGCCCTGGAGGGGGCGGGGCGGTCTGGGCAGGAATCCAGGCCGGGTTTTGCACCTCACAGGGGAGCCCCCTCCCAGGCTCCCTCAGCCAGGGGGAGGGCCCCCAGGTCGGGAGGAGCCTGGATCACAGCTGGAAGCCAGGCGCCTCGCTAGGACTAGGGGGGAGGGGCAGGAGGGGTATGGCTTCCAAACCCAGTCTGGTCGTCCCAGCTCTCAGCTCCCCTGGCCCCTCTCCCCAGAGCACCGCCAACCCCTGGGGAGATGGAAAACCACGTGGCTGCAGTGACACCCTTATGCTCCTTTGGGTTAAGCAGTGCTCTAGCTCATTCTCAGGAGCAGACATTGCTTCTTGGGAAAAGCTGTACCCAGTCCCCCAGTCCAGAGGCAGGCTGCGGGTCTTCACGCATCCTCCTCCGCCCAACCTGGGCCTCCCCACTCAGGTGGGGCTCCCGCAGCCGGCTGCCCACAGCTTGGCACTTCCAGGATTGAGTAACCCCCACGGCCGGCCTGCCAGTCCAGCTCAGGATGGGGGCCGCAGCCCTGTCCCCAGGGCCTGGGGTTCATCCAGCCCAGTTTCTTTCCCAGAGCAGGAGTGCCCTGATCAGCCAGGTTCTAGCCTTCCCAGGAGGGCGTGGGAGGCTCCCTGCCAGCAGACTGACCAGGGGCTGGCATGGCCGGTCTGGGCCTGGGGCCCCCAACAGGCAGATTTAGGTGTGTGTGCACAGAGGCGGGGGAAGTAGCCCGGAACTCAGGACCTCAGCTGTAAACACAGCTGGGCTCGAAACGTCTGGTATGGTCTCTCTGATTATACTCAGGCTTCTCAAGTGCTTCTCTGTGCCTCAGTTTCCCTGCCTACAAGGAGATGCTGTGGACCCCCAATCTGCCTGCCTTGTGGAGGTAGGAGGGTGAGCTAAGGAAGAGGAAGGAGCTTCTGCACTCCTGGCCTTGGATGGGGTGGGCATCGCCAACCACCCAAGCTGAACGTCGCCACAGGCTGCGAGTGGGGACCCAGTGGGCACCAGCTGGGGTGCTGGGTAGGCAGGGGCCAGGGCAGGAATTAGGAGAGAAGGGGCCTGGGCTCTCTGCCCGTCCTCCTGGCCCAGGACCCCCACAGCGGGCAGGCAGACAAAGGCTGCCCCCTGCACGCCCCAGCAGAGCATCTGGAATCAATCCTGCTGTGGAACAAGCCACCCACCGGCTCCGGCTGCCCCGTGGCCTCCTCCCTTTAAACAGAAGCAGCCCCCCTTCCGGGAACTGCCTAGACTGGGGGAGGCGTGCCTGAAAATGCCCCCACCACCAACACCACTTCCTAAGACAGACCCCTCCAAGGGGAAGTCTTGGCCAGCATGGGCTTCCCAGGCCCCCCGCCATCTGTGGGCCCAGGGCCCCCCCCCCACCCCGGGCTGAGAGTCCTGCCTCTTTCCAGCCTCCAGAGGGGCTCTTGAAAGGGCCCACCTCCCGCCTCCACGTGCTGCTCTGGGTGGGTGTCCAGGCTGCAGCCTCCAGGCCCCTGAGCCTCCAAAGGAGCCCAGCTCATTAAACCTGCATATTCCTGGGGTTCCCCCAAGACTCTTGGTTCAGTAGGTCTGGGTGGGGTCCGGAAATCTTCATGTTTCTTAAGTGCAGAGCAAGGGGCCTGGGGCCAGCTACATCTGACCCGACCTCACCACAACCTTCACACTTCCTCAAAAGCTTCCAAAAGTGAACTCCCAGAGTAGCGAGGGCCAAGGTCGGTCACCAAGCAGCCGCTTCCCTCTGCGCCCCCACCCACTGCACCCACCTTGATCTACCTCTTCCCGGCCTCCAAAGGCCCCACGCTCATTCCCGCCTCCAGCCTTTGCCCTGCTGGCCGGATGCCCGCCATGAATCTCTTCTGCACCCGCCTGGTGAGTCCTCCGAATCCCTCAGGATGCAGCTCAGACATCACTTCAGTAAAGGAGTCTGAGCCCCAAGGATAGAGCCCCTGACCTCTGCCCACCCGACCCATTGGCTTGAATAATGAGGACATGGAAGAGCAGGGAGGCATGGATCCACAGAGGAGGTGGTGGTTGCCCGCAGAGCTGGGCCACAAGTCCAGGCAGACCACGGGGCCAGGCCAGGGCTGAGTGGGAGGGGCCACCCCAGTGCCGGTTTGCATCTTGCCAGGGGTGTTAGGGTAGAGTCAGTGAGGACGACGGCGCAGAAAAGCAAATTGTCAGAGTCATCCTTGAAAGCCTTCCATTGCCCATACAGGACCGTTTTTCCTCCCGTGTTAGCACAGATCACCCATTTCTCCAGCTGAGTGCCAAGCAGAAGCGCCTGGCCTTTCGTGAGGGCCCATTTTGTGCAGGAAGAAAACTACAGCAACTAGTTATCTAACACCAGATGCCACCCAGGGGGGAGATGCTCATGCCTGGAAGGGACCACAGAAGTCCAAGGCTTCTAACATAGGAGGGTTACCGGTTTGGCCTCGAAAGGTTTGTCTGAGGGTGAAGATAGGAATTAGTCTAACAAACCGTATTCAGCATGACCCTGTGCCTGACCCTGTCCACAGCATTCTATGCACATTATCTCATTTAATTTCACAACCATCCTATGAGGCAGATGGTTACCACCTTCATTTTACAGAAAATATTGAAGGCACAGAGAGGGTAAGTAAGCCCCCATAGGTCACACAGCTGGCACTAGGAGTCAGGATTTGAACCCAGGTGGGCTAGAAAGAGTATGTCTTAAGGTTGAGCCGGACTTAATGCAGAGATGGAGGAGGGGTGATAGCCTGGAACTTTCCTTAAAAGCCAGCTTTGACAAGGAACAGGAGGAGGCAAGGAGGGACGGGAGTCCTGACAGGGGAAACACTGGAGCCCACACCAGGCCCCACACAATGGGTGTCTGGAGGGCTCAGACCTGTCAGGTTTCCTGTCGGGACGAGCGTAGGCAGCGGTGACCAGGGGAAGTCCCCGGCCAGGCAGCCCTGCACACATCCGCCTGCCAGGCCAGTCTCAACCTCTGAGACGCTAGAGCCCTGGGCAGGGTTGTGGCGGTGGTGGGGGTGCTGCGGGGAGGCGGGGGGCGGTCATGGTTAAGGTCACGGGCCTCTGCCCGGGGAGGCATCCCGTCTGACAGGCAATGACGGCTTCCTGCGTCCACCATTCGTCCGGGAATGAGGCTGGACCAGGAGGAGGACGTTCATTCAGGGGCTGGAGGAGGCTGGAGCGGGGCTCACCCCCCAGGGCAGAAGGTGCAGACAAGCCCCCGGGGTCACACACAAGTGCTTGAAGCCCAGCCAGGCGTCCACGGCCTCCACTGCCCCCCAGACTTCCTCCCAAAAGCTACTGATGAATTTAATGACATCCTTCACAGAAAATGGCCCAGTCAGGGCTGTGATGACCCCGGGCGTGGATGGCTCTGCCCCTCTCAACACAGACGGAACTGGGGGCCCAGTCAAGCGTGGACATTTGAACACACACAGACAGAGCCTCTGGGAGTGTGAGAGTTTTTTTAAACCAAGTCACCCAAAGCTGGGCTGAGGGTGAGCCCTTGGGACAGGTCAGGGCTCTAAAGGCAGAAGGGCAGTCACCAGGGTCACTCTGTGATTTGGGGGATGCTCTGTGACTCAAAGAAAGCCCCTTTACATCTCTGGGCCTCAGGTTTCCATGTGTTAAATAGAGACAAGACATCTCTGCCCAGCCCAACTCCAT